GAAGGAAGGAAGGAAGAAAAGAAGAAAGAAAGAGAAAGAAAGACTATATGGGGCACCTTTTCATAAATTTTAAATTTAGGATTAACCAGCATTTTTCTGATTTGACCAAAAGATTGATCTAATAATTTTTTTTTTTTTACTTAAACAGTGCTCAAATTTATGGATAGATATTTTCTGCAAGTGCAGTGCAAATTATCCTAGACATATTAAAGCAATTAGATGACTGAATTTCACTTTCTGTGAGTGGATCCTGTGGTCTGGGGAGAGGGGTACCGAAGCTGCTGCCCTTTTCAAATAATTCACAAATGTGCTAATTATGTGTCAGATTTGAAAGCTGAGGCATTGTGACCTTCAAGCCAACAAAAGACCTTTTCAAGTAAGCCATTCCATGTACATTAATAAAGTGAACAATGCCCTTCCACACTTAAATAATGTATGGCTGTTATTTCATTATATGTAAATGGAAAGCAAGGAGTGGTTTCACTGTTGACATGTTAAAAGAAATGCTATTGAAAACAAAGGCTATAAATCCATTTTCATAACACTGGTGATATTCTTCAACTAGTGATCCAAAGATATGTTCGTTGTTTGCTCCCATTGCATGCATTTCATGTGTGGTTTCTCCACAACTAAATGTATTTTGGATTTGAGCAATAAAAACTGCAATGTACTCAAGTATATAATGCTAGAAACTGATTGTTGGAAAAGCTAACTCTTTGCAGTGATGACGACAATGATGCATTTTGTAGGTTGGGGAAACACTACCCCTCTACACAAATAATCACCTGCTACCAAGAGGGACGGTGAATAACTGAGGCTCAAAGGAAGGGAAAAGAATCCCATGCTCTTTTTCGTGGCTCTGTCTTTTTTAAAAAAATATTTTTTATTGATTTCAGAGAGGAAGGAAGAGAGAGAGAGAGATAGAAATATCAATGATGAGAGAGAATCATTGATTGACTGCCTCCTGCACATCCCCACTGGGGATTGAGCCCGCAACCCAGGCATGTGCCCTTGACGGTAATTGAACCTGGGACCCTTCAGTCCGCAGGCGACGCTCTATCCACTGAGCCACTGGCTAGGGCTCTCGTGGCTCTTTCGTGGTGTAAAGAAAGTAGTGGTGAATATTGGACTTAGGTAATGGACATAAAGGTACTTATTTGAGAGAGCAGTGTCTTCACTGGGAGAGCATAAGTTTCAAAAGCAATAACGTATAAAGGAATTTTAGTGTCACTAATGCTTGGATCAAATGGACTTCTGGGATGCCAAACAGTGCCCACACAGTTGTAGTAGAAAATCAAGAACAGGAAGAAGAATTTAATTATCTTGTATTTGTCCAGCTTTGTAGTATAGTTTATGCCGAATAAAACATGCATAAAGATACAGTCACTCTTAATGCAACTTAAGTAGACGTAAGAAATCTCTGGGAAATAATAAACTAATTGCAAATTTAAAATAAACCACAATCATATGAGATTCCAAGAACTTATTAGCATTCAATCCACAGATAGAAATTTTTCCAGCCCCATAGGAAACCATAATACTTAGTATCTTATTGTGAATTAGATGTTGATACCAAGAGACTATACAGGGTTTACTGATTCACTCACTAGTTATTTCTTTTGTTTTAAATAATTTTATAGGGGCCTTTGTTGTTATTTGTTGTAATAGATTCTCAGGATACTTTCATAAAACAGATACCACGGACATTTGTGAGAATGCTAACGTCTGTTACTGAGACTTTCAATGTATGGGTACCTGTGCTTAATTCTCTAGGAAAACAAATATTTCTTCATTTTCTTGATAATCTGAAATAATTTTCAATATTTTGGATTTTATTTAAGGTGGCAAATCTTGCTTGTTCCATGTCAACAAATGAAGATGGAATTAAAATTGTCAAAATTGCAGCCAACCACTTGGAAACTTTGTGTCCACAGGTATGACTACGTTACTGTCTCTTCCACTAAACTAGCTGTAAGAATTACCTACAATGCTTCAGACTTTTATACATATGGAACGATATTTAAATATTTGTTTTAAACACGGAAGATAACTCGTCTTAAGGTCACGGTTCCTTCTTTACTAATCACCTCGTTCATTACTGAGCACATGGTTCTCGTAAGATTCCCTAAGGCCCATATCAGAATCTTGTGAGAGAAAGGTGTAGCTTGAATCAAAGCAGTGTTTTGTTCAACAGATTTCATGTCTTAGTCATTATTCATTTGAAACCCCCAACAGAATGAAAGAAATGGCATTTTTGCCCCTTTTATCAAATGAAGGCATGGGTTTGAAAAAAGCCAATCAATGTTTTCCTGTCTGCAATTCAGGAGTTTTTGAAATCTGAAGAGCAATACATTTTGAGGGAATTATTTTTAGATGACTAGTAATCCCGAAGCCATGGATCAAGACGGGCATAAGGGCAATCGTAACCATGTTGTCTTAGAATACGCTCTGTATTCTGTTCCACTACTCTATTTCTTTATCCTTGCAACAGTATCGCAATGTCTTAATTATGGTTTTATACTAATCTTATCTTTTATGCAAGTTGGTTCACTTTGTTTTGTTTTTTTCTTTAAATTAACTGTTGTTCTTGTTTTGCTCTTTCATATAATTTTTAGTTCCATGAAAATACTTTTAGAATATTTATTGAAATTGCAAAAAATATGTTAAATTGTTTTAGATATTCAGTATCCTTTAAGATATTGAATCTTTTCATTAATAAACATGTTTAATGTATCTCCATAATCAGATCTTTTTAAATATTTCTCAGTGATTCCTTAGGTTTTTTTTTATCATTTATTACAATAAATTACATGGCTACATGCTGAAAGCTTCAAAATTTTTCTCTCTAGGCTAACCCTCTTCCCTAATGACCAGACTTTAATATCTAGTTTTCCCCTTGACATTTCCACTTTGATATCTAGAGGACAATTAAAACTTGAAATAGCCAAAATGGAATTCTGGTTGTTCCATCCCCATCTCTTTCTGTTGCTGCTTCTGTCTTCCTGATTTTACTAATGCATGGCCATTCATCTGGTTGCTTGGGGGGAAAACCTGGAGATTTTCTTTATTCAGTCGGTAAGTGGTTATTGAACATATAGCCTGTGGTAAGCACTGTTTATGCATCTGGGGAAAATAGTAAAGAAAACAAACAAAAGTCCTTGCTCTTGTGAAGCTTATATTCTAACTAGAAGCTCGGTGCATGGATTTGTGCATAGGTGGGGTCCCTTCGCCTGGCCTGCAGGGATCTGGCCAAAACTGGCTAACATCTCTTGAGGGGTCCCGGATTATGAGAGGGCGGTTCTTGGGTGACACACCCCGGAATCGGGCTCCCTCCTCTCTGGTTCCGGGTGCGTCACCTGAGAACTGCAGCTGCCAAGTCACTGCAGCTCAGAGCTCCTGCGTGGAGCGTCTGCCCCCTGCTGGTCAGTGTGTGTCATAGTTACCGGTCAGATGGTTGAACAGTCGGATGGTTGCTTAGGGTTTTATGATATCTAATGGCTAATTTTTTCTATCTAATCCATTAAGATGTCCTATTAATTTTACCGAAAATATTTATCTTGAATCCATGTATTTTTGTCCATCTTATCTGTCAACACCTTAGCCTATACCACAATCATCTCTATCTTGGGCAACAGAACTGTCATCCTATATGGCATCCATGTTTGTACTAATGTCTCTCTAATCTACTTTCTATATAAAAGTCAAATTATAAATATGTTTATCCCAGTGATTGCTTTTCTTAGCTATTTATAGTAAAATGCAACCATTTTTATGGCTTAACCAGACTCTTTTTAAAAAAATATGTTTTTATTGATTTCAGAGAGAGGAAGGGTGAGGGAGAGAGGGATAGAAACATCAATGATGAGAGAATTATTGATCAGCTGCCTCCTGCACGCCCCCTACTGGGGGTTGAGCCCTCAACCTGGTCATGTACCCTGACTGGGAAATTAACTATGACCTCCAAGGTTCACAGGTCAATGCTCAACCACTGTGCCATACCAACTGGGCTTAATCAGACTCTTAGGATCTTCATATTGTCTAACTTCCAGCCCCATCCAATATTATTTTCCTTTTTAATCCTCAGATCTCTGTGCACTGGCCTTTGTTTCTAGAACACAGTAAGCCTCTTTGCACCCGAGGGAGTTTGCAGTTGGCCGTTTCCCAGTGCTCTTTTCCCATATGGCCATGTAGACAGCAACTGTAATGTTTAATTTGTGAGTACTCCGCTCAAATATCATCTCCTCAGAGATCAATCTCTTAAATCACCCCTGCAGTTCTGTCATATCATTTTGCCATTTATTTCTTTTAGAGTCTATCACAACCTCAAATTATATTTTATATTATCTTGTTACTTTTATTGTATATTTTCACACTGAAAAATAACCTTCATGATGGCAGTGATTTAGTCTTCCTTATTCACTGCTTATAACCAATTGCACCTAGCAAAAATGCAGCATTTTCTTGTCCTATATATGTGAATGATCAGGATTTTAGAATAATAAATCATTCTATTCATAGAGGACAGTAAGGTTTTCGCCAACATCTTGATGACACTTTTCCTAACATGGCGTGTCCTCTTTTTGACAACATAAAAAATACAGTATAATTATTGAATTGTAACTAATGAAAAAAAATCCTTTAAATGGCTGATTAATAGATAATTGCTAGCCAAGAGTGAGGCCGCTCTTGGTGGGCTGAAATTATTTGCTTTTGACCTAGCTCATATCAGTATTTTCCTAGTGATTTGGATAAAATTATAGGATAATACTGTTAAAACTTTAGTCAAAAATAAGAGGATAAAGAAACATATTAGCTGAAAGAACCCAGTCACAAAGAATTTGGGTATTCTAGAATATAGACTAAATCTAAATATTCAGATGAAATATAACACGTATAATAATTAAACCCTATATACTGAGCACTCTAAAACAAACTGCAAAGATAGAGAATGGAAGAAATACAGCTTAGCAAAAATTTACCCTCCAGGAAACCTGCAGGTTTTAGTTGATAGTAATCTCAATGTGAATCAACAGTATAATACTAGTAGCCTGGTACACAAAATTTGTGCACATTAAAAGGGAATTAATTGCCCTAACCAGTTTGGCTCAGTGGATAGAGCATCGGCTAGCAGACTGAAGAGTCCCAGGTTTGATTCTGGTCAAGGGCATGTACCTTGGTCGAGGGCACATCCCCAGTGGGAAGTGTGCAGGAGGCAGCTGATTGATGTTTCTCTCTCATGCCCTCAAGGCATCTTACCTCTTCCCTAGCTGATTCTCCTTCGCTTTCTGCCTCTGAGCCTTCAGCGTCTCTGACTCTCTCTTGCTGTGCTGTTTCACATCTATTTGATTATCAGAGCAGCCAGAAGAACCTTCAGGGAGAGGACAGGTACTTCCTCCCCCACAGGGGTGCCCAGATCGTTTCCCTGGGCTCCTGTTCACACCAGTCCGTCCACCTGGACACTGTCTTCTCTACCCATTCCCACCCGTTAGAATCTGGCCATCTCTAACTCACCGTTTGTTGACCATGTAGCAGGTGCTAAGCAGAGCCTGCATATTCATTCATCGCTCACTCATTCATTCAGCAAGTATGCAGTGAGACCCTCTAGGAGCCAGGTGCCCTATAATGGTGAGCCAAATAGACATTGGTCCCTGCCCCCAAGGAGCTATAGTCTAGAGCAGTGGTTCTCAACCTTGGCTGCACATTAGAACCACCTGGGAATCTTTTTAAAATCCTGATTTCTGGGCCTCACCCTCCGGAAATTCTGTTTCTTTGTTATGTGGTGGGGCCACAACATTAGTAACAAAGAAACAGAATTAAAACTTTATTGTGGGGAGCCGCTACAGTGTTTTGGACAGGTTCAAGCCTTGGACTGATGAGAGAGCACAGTGTTGGCATGGTACACTTTAGAAAGATCTGCCTCCATGCTGCCAGGGTGGGTTCCTGCCTCAAACTCCACCCTTACAGGAAACAGCTCCAGGAAACAGCTTGGGGGAGGGTGCAGCCGTTGCCAAGACAACCCCTGTAGGACTGACTTCCTTCTGCTCAGTTGAGACTGTTCTTCTCTATGTGATGAACACCATCCATGGTTTTTATATAAGTAGATAGCTGTCGGGAAAAAACAACAACACACTAATATGATTTAAATTACTTCATCAAAGAATGTTCTAAACTTATTTTCAATCTTCTATATACTTAAAAATTATTTTAAACATTGTATAATTTTTATACAGCACATCCTGAATTTCAGAATTAGTATGTCTGGAGTACAACCCACTGTGTGTGTGTGTGTGTGTGTGTGTGTGTGTGTGTGTTCCACTTTTGCAAAATATAGTGTATTGAAATAAAGTATGCACATACATTTAGATTTACTAATTCTGCTTCAATTTATGATACAGATATACATGCACATATGCACACCAGTGTGTAAGTAAGGTTTTTATGTAGCTCTATCTGTAATGACAAAAGCTAAAGCCACCTAAATGTCTGTTGGTAGTAAATTGGTATGTTTTGGTTTGGAAGATATCCAAAAAGATTGAAAAAGGCAGTTTTCAGATGAATATGTATAATATGCCATATATTTTGGAAAAAAGGAGATATATAGAACCATATGTTTTTGAAGAGCATAGAAAAGTTTTTAAAAGGTCCCGGTGAGAGTTTTAAAAGAAGTTACTTCCAGGAAGTAAGATTAGGGACAAAGAACAAGTAGGAATACTTTTACATTTCACTTTATTTCTTTTAGTACCCTTAATTTTACTAAAAATAGATACTTCATTAATTTCTGAACAGAACCCAACCTATTAAAACAATTATAGATTGATTCTGGAGTGAATAAAGTTGAGAAAACAAACCGTATTTGTTAAATACGGTTGAGTTCACCTAAGTCTCAGTGAATTGGACCATTCTGGTTCTTACTGTGCCTAATGGACTACAACTA